GTCTGCCCGAGTGCATCCCTCTTGTCATCGAATGCCTCAACGACTCGAACGCAAAGGTGCAGACGCCGTTCACACCTCCTCTGGAGGCGCTGTTCACGCCTCCTCTGAGGCGCTGTTCACACTTCGAACGCAAAGGTCCAGACGGCCGCAGAGGAGGCGCTGCCCGTGCTCTGCTCGTGCGTGCAGAACGCCGAGGTCGCGTCGACGCTGCGCGACTTCATCATCGACGCGCTCAAGAAGCCGGACAAGACGTTCGAGTGCGTGGAGGAGGTGCTGATGACCACCTTCTGCAACCCGATGGACGGTGCGTCCCTCGCCTCTCTCTGCGATGCCTCTGCGATGCCTCTGCGAGCCTTCCGGGAGCCTTCCGGGAGCCTTCCGGGAGCCTTCCGGGAGCCTTCCGGGAGCCTTCGAGGGCCCTCCTAGGCACGTCTCTCGCCTTTATGATGCCGATCATCATCCGCGGCATCAAGGACGCAAACTACGAGCTCGTCAAAAAGTCGACCGTCTGCGCGTCCAACTTGTGCGCACTCATCAAGGACTCGTCGCCGGCCAAGGTGCTGTGAACGGCGTCTCTTCACACCTGCAGCTGTGAACAGGTGCGCCCTCATCAAGGACTCGTCCGACATCGCGCCGTTTGTGCCGCTGCTGCTGCCGCTCCTCGAGAAGAACGTCGAGCACTCGTCGCCGAACATCCGCGAGGCGACGCAGACGGCGCGCGAGCGGCTGCTCGAAGGTAATCTCGGGCAATCTCGGGCAATCTCGGGCGATCTCGGGTGATCTCGGGTGATCTCGGGTAATCTCGGGTGATCTCGGGTGATCGATCTCGGGTGATCTCGGGTAATCTCGGGTGATCTCGGGTAATCTCGGGTAATCTCGGGTAATCTCGGGTGATCTCGGGTGATCGATCTCGGGTGATCTCGGGTGATCTCGGGTAATCTCGGGTAATCTCGGGTGATCTCGCGAGCGGCTGCTCGAAGGCGCCGGCGACCTTGTCGACCCCGCCAAGCGCGGCACGGCAGTCGGCGCGTGCGTGCGCGACTCGCTTGCCGCGGCGGTGCCGTCGCTGCCCGAGCCCGTCGCGACGTACCTCTCGCACACGTGCGCCGCCCTGCTCGAGGAGCGGCTGGGCGGCGTCGTGCGCGTGCAGAACTTCCGCCACGCGGTGCCGAGAGCACCCACAAGACTGCATACAGTCGTGACGAGACGATCAGTACTGAATAGGGCCGTGGTGACAACGGTGGCCCTCAGAACAATCGCAACAACTCACAGCAACTCACAACTGATAAGAGAGAATGATGAGAGTGCTTCGACGGACAACCGTGCCAGCTTGAGACCCATGGTGACAACAATGCCAGGTGCCCGCCACGGAGCAGTGGGTCTCCTCCATCGTCGAGCCGTACGCGACCGCGGAGGGCGGCGCGCTGGCGCAGGTCGCCACGGCGGCGGTGGAGAACTTCAAGTCGCAGCTGCCCGAGGAGGCGCGCGCCATCCTCGCAAAGTCCGGCGACAAGGATTTTGCGCTCGACATGCAAAACATCATCCTCGCCTTCGCCGGCCGCGTGCTGCTGCGCAAGGCGGACGTGCGCTTCGAGCGCGGTCACCGGTACGGGCTAATCGGCCAGAACGGGACCGGCAAGACGACCCTGCTCAACCGACTTGCCGCCAAGGACATCAACGGCTTCCCTCAGGAGCTTCGCACCTGGTACGTCTCCCCACACCCCTCCCCACCCCTCCCCACACCTCTCCCCACCTCTCCCCACCTCTCCCCACCTCTCCCCACCTCTCCCCACCTCTCCCCACCATCTCTCGAGATCTCCACACCTCTCGCCACACGTCGCGCCACATGTACCTATCTCTCCCCACCTCTGGTGACCGCTCGTCAAAGTCTCGAC